AATGTCCGTTGTACAAGAAGGAGAGGGAAGTGTACGTGACTGAGCTGGGAAAAATAGATGGAACGTACAGGGAGATGTTTGAGGCATGGAATAGAGAGGAAAGGACGGTAGCTGTAGTGGGGCATAGGAGGTGGGTTGAAAAGGCGGGAAGGGATATCGTTAGGATAGACAGACTAGGGAAGACATTTTTGAGCCACCTTTGGCAAAGTAGAAAGGAACGATTGGCCATCCGTGATCGGTCCTGTGGGAACAATGCTCCGTCCTCTCGAGGACGCGTGGTCAATGGTCTAACCGCTAAGACATGCAAAACATAAGAGTACGTACCCCAACCCGGTACGTCGATTTCCCCCCGGGGGGGTTGGTTTCAGGAAAAAGAAACGATCCCCTCCCCGGAGGGGAAACTCCGACGTTTAAGGTAATCACCCAAAGAGGGTTGTGAGAACAAAAAAAAGCGAAGTGACTCTACGTCAAACTAGTCGGGTGCCCCTAGGAGCCTTCTTGGCTATTGCAATAATACGTTTGGGGAGGTTATTGTGGAGATACCTTATCAAAGGGCCTCCTCTGCTCGACGTCCGTCGAGGAGGATTCCTTCCATCCACAGCATGCCTACAATAATAATTACACAGCAGAGTTGTGCACAAGGATATGGCTTTGACGGGAGACGTCGGGCTGGTTTGTCCCTGGTTGTTACGTTTTCGTTTTTCGTCGATTCGTCCTCCCGTGGACTGAGCATGAAAGAAAGACTTTTGCGCTCTCCTCACACTCGCCTCCAATCCTAATTCACCCGATACAAGACCGTCGGTGGTATTCCGCGCTTCTGGCACAGCAGTAGTTACGATGCAAAAAAGCGTGTTTTACGGGACACAATCAATCACCGAAGTCGGCTATCTATTGGCACACATACCGGGAACACGAACACGCGTTCTCTGCTTGGCAGCGTTGTCTGGGGAATATTTCTGTCTTGCAGAATCTGTTTTCTAGCTGTTGGCCTTTTGCTCTGCGAAATACGGGAGCCGTTGACCACGACTCACGCGGCAAAGATTATGTACAGCAGTAGAGTAGAGCTACCCTGCCGGTTTTTGTTGTTATTTTGCTGTTCGACCAACGCTCGTGACTGAGCGGTCATTAGCGGTGGGGCCCTCTGCAACCTGTAGGCAATCGAGAACTCTCATCATTTTCACGCAACAACAGCAAGAGTAGGTCGTGATTCCGTAGTGTCCCTCCACTCTCAGCACATGTCTCTGTCTCGCGCGTCGGGTGATGTCGCGTGTCGGTGTCGTTTCTGCTGGCGGAACGAAGCGGTTACACAATTTGAACGCGACCAGACCGGGGGGCACGCGAAATATATTTCTGCATACCCGCTCTCGCACCTTCCATGTTGCACGTTGTTGCGCTCCTGTCCGCCCTATCGTGCATCACGTGCACGCACGCAACTCGCTATCCACTCGTACTACACGCCCATGCACCCGCAGGCGCTTGCGCCCGCCTGCGCCTTAGACGTCGATGGTGCTAGAGCACCCCTTCAACATGCGGCACTCTCAGCACGTTCACAAGCGTTCGTGCACAGCACAAGCGAAGTCATCAAGTTGTACATGGCGCCGCCGCATGCGTCGAGAAGAAGCGGCAGGTCACGCGTCAGGCCACGCCCGGGGCACGCAGCCCGCGCCCCATGCCGAACGTTGCTCGTTCCCGTGGGTGGAGCAGGGACGCGGCCGTTTTCTGTCGAAACGAAGCTCGCATCGGCAGTGATGGCTGGTGATGACAACATTGAGCAACTCTCTCGCATGATGACGAAGCGCGGGGCAGCTGCATCAACCGCGTGGGGTCTAGGGCAAAGCAGTAGCAGCAGCAGCGCGGGAAGCAGAGGGAGAAGCAGCGACCACCAGGACAAGCGGAAGTCCCAGAGGAGAACACAGCGATCCGTCGAGGAAAAGGTTGTCGAGTCTGGTTTGACTGCAGAGGAAGGCAGCAACGGCGGTGCTGGTACTACTACCGCTGCTGCTACTATTTCAGCCCGAAGAGGGAAACAGGTGAACCGCTCACTTTGCCTACATCTTGACCCCTTGCAGTGCGTCGACAACAGCTGCAACAATGCTGTTAGTCTCTGTTCGCACGAACGCAGCAGGTAGTTCGTTTGCATGTGCCAACAAAAGTTAGTCTCTGTGCGCACGGATACAGCAGGTCAGTCGTCTGCGTATGTAGTACCAACTCTACTGCTGTGTCAAAGCACACATACGAGGCGTCCTAAGTTTCAGTAGAAGGTAAGTGTGGCTTGTGGGGAACTTATCAAGTATAATCGAAGTGGCGAATCGGAGACGTTTGGCGAACCTTTTTTGGAGATTTGTAACGCGCACGTGTGCGTTGCCTGCCCCGACGACCCCCCCACCAAGAAAACCTTGATCCTGTGATACATACCAAACAGTACCAGGTGTTTTGTTAAGTTGCTTGCTCTGCCGCATTATACAATCGCGTGCACGCGTGGACAGGGTTCACGTTGGGTCAACCTGCACTAGGGACACGTACCCCTGCCATCCTCGGGGAACGGAAGCAACCTCGAATTGCTTGTATGATTGGGTCGTAGTTTCCTTGATGGCATATACCGCCCAACCATACAAGCATTTCGAGGTTGCTTCCTCTTCCCCGAAGACGCAGGTCCTGGTGCTTCCAGTGCCGGTTGACCGGTAGGTGAACCTTGTGCACGTCGATATTTTTCGGCGGAGCAAGCAATACCAAACACCTGGCTGTACCATTTGGTATCTATAGCGGGATCGAGATTGTCTTCGGTGGGGGGGGGGGGGGGG